ACCCCCCCCCAAAAAAACCTTCGGAAAATTGGGGAAAAAAAGGGGGCCCAAGGGGCCCCGGGGGGGGGGGGAAAAAAGTCCCAAAAATTTTTTTGGGGTTTTGGGGAAAAAAAAAAAAGGCCCCCAAATTTTGGGGGGGTTTTTTTTGGGGGGGGGAAAGGGTTTCCTTTTTAAAAGGGGGGGGGGGGCCAAGGTCAAAAGGTTTGGGCCAACAAAAAAAGGGGTCCCCCCCCCCCCCCCCCCCTCCCCCCCCCTCGGCCTTGTTTGCCATCGGGGTTGGGTTTTCGTCGCTTGGCAACGACGTTGTAAAACAAGCCGCCCCCCCCGGTGTTTGCCATCGGGGTTGGGTTTTCGTCGCTTGGCAACGACGTTGTAAAACAAGCCGCCCCCCCCGGTGTTTGCCATCGGGGTTGGGTTTTCGTCGCTTGGCAACGATGTTGTAAAACAAGCCCCCCCCTCGGTGTTTGCCATCGGGATTGGGTTTTCGTCGCTTGGCAACGACGTTGTAAAAGAAGCCAATTCACTTCGTGAACTCGGCAACCAGGTTACCGCTTTTTTTTTGTACCTCGGTGTTTTTTTTTGGCGGTAACCATAATGGTGGTCGAGTAGATCATGTTGTGAGGGGTGGAGAACCCTTACTCCGCGCAACGGGGGATGATCGCACCACGTTGTGTTAAAATGGTCAAGCATCCTCGAGGCAGTTACACAGTGCTTACAACCGTCTCTGGAAAGTGAAAGCACCAGAAAACAAATTAGGTCATATGCAGCTGCCATCCGTACGCAAGGAAGTAAGCACAAGATGCCGAACACCCTTAGCAGGATGCAGCTCACCCTTCATGCGACTCGCCAAATACCTCACGGCGATTCGCGCTTGGTGATGTGAGAGCCTGGTCCGGTGAGAACCCGGCGTGCTCCATCCCGGCTTTGTAGGGATGCGAGGTCAATGGTCAAACGACTACGGCATGCACGACTATGAGTACACCCCCCCCCCCCCCCCTTGTACGGTGTGCGCCGACGTCACGATAACTCGACATTTGAAGCTGTTGTACTGGATAGTGCCTGTTGCGCCTCCAACACTCACAAAGATGAATATTGTCGCGAAGGATCCTTCTGCCCAGGTAATTTCCCGATCCCAGGCACCATCTTCTCCGACTTCACCTCCGCGTGTGCTGTGGAAGAGGACGAAATGGCCCAACGCTGCAATCATCGCGACGTACGCGATGAAGTCCAGCAAGAATCTCATAGCCGGGACCTGGTAGTAGCTGTTTGGCTCCGCTGCCACTCCCGCGACAACGAACTGTGCCCCTGAAAACCACGTTAGGTTTGGGACTCCATCGTGTGCTGCCTGTAGCAGTGTGCGAGGGTGAAGCAAGCACTGGGCATACTGACACCCTCCCCCGTCATACCACTTGACCTTCGAGAGCTCCTCTCCGCCATCCCCAATAACGAGGCCGGGATCCAGATACTGCAATTCTTCCGCGTTCCTCAACACCCCTTCGGTATCCTGCAGGTTCGGTAGACCCCTCGCGAACCTTCGCGACAAGAAGTCCATCACTAGAGGTACGTTGCAAAACGTTTTCATCTGCTCCGGTTTCGAAAGAATCATTTCCAGCGGGCTTTCTAGACTTAGGGACCGATGTTCCCCCTTGAATTGCGGCTCGAACATGCCGGCACAGCAACCCTTACTCTCTTTGTCGAACTCTGGAACCGTTCGAGGTAAGCGCTCGAATATTTCGAGCAACAGAGCTTCAACACTAGTCCGAACCTCGTCGATCGTTCTTTGGTCTCCCTCGCTCGCCTCTTTCGCAGCTTCGGCAAGCCTAATCGATAGCACCAGGCCTGGAATGAAGGGGTTGGCGGCGGATGTTACTGCTCGCAAACAGCAATTTTTGAATCCGTCCCTAGGCTTGTGGTGTTTGGAGAGCTTCTTCAAATGGCTTGCCGATGGTCTCGCCGAACCCGCCATGAGGAAAGAGAGGGTCGTGAAGCCTGAATCAACATCCCCGGGGGCAGCGTCGAGAACGGCCTTTACACAGGTCGCAAATACAACGTCCAACTGGGAGCATGGCTCTTCGGCTACCTGCAAGATGGTTAAATGATTCAAAGGGAGGGTGGTGAAACCACGCACAACATCCACAGCATCCTGAGCACGGGAAAACCATTGCGGAGAAAATTCCCCATGTGAATACCGTTTGAAGGTGGATCCGCTACTGGCCAGTGTAAAAAAAAACACGGTCCATTCCCGTTTAAAACGAATAGCCACCACTGTACTCTTTACTGTGGATCAAGTACAATGAAGAATGGCTTGGACAGGTGAGAAGAACGCTCATTGCGGGAGAGGGTAGACAAGTCGACAAGCCCGGCCGTGTCGAACATTCCCAGGAAGAGCGCCGCCGTGATGTCGGTCCGAATATACAGCAGGTGAAACGGTCTCCAATGTGCCAACCACCATTTGGGAACAATATCGAAAGGTTTCAGTCACATCGTATCGGTTCTAGCCCGCGAGCGTGAAAATTGATGCTCAACCAGCCACGTAGGGTTCTATAACGTGCTAGGATGAGGTTCTATGGGTTTGTTCTCTCCTTGGCGACATGATCTTGCCTTTCGTCGGTCATCATCAAGTGGTGCCAGGAGGTCGCGACCGACATGAACCTCGGTGCCCCGCAGATCCCAAACAATGAACACCAAAGAAAAAATCTATCCTTAAAAGTGTCGTTTGTAAACATGCGCGACTTGCGTTCGTCAAGGATTAAGAGTCCACCTCCAAACAACTGTGAGCAATACTACCAGTCAGTGCAGAACGAATTTCGCGTGCTCGTTCTAGGTCCGCTAGAGCAGACACGTCAACCACGTTAATTTAAGGACAATATATTTTAGCGCTCTGTGTCAAAGTTGGGGTTGCAACAATTTGGTGAGATAAAAGCCAAGGTACCAAGGTACCGTGAGTGCCTGTAGACTTGCGATGAGGCGAGAACGCAACGTAGAAACGATGACAGCACTTAAAATCATGTGTTGGCACTTCAGTATTCACCTTGTGACCTTCCCTGCTGCAAGTGCCCATCATTTGCAGTAGATTATGGTCTTGCAGTGCCCGCAGCAAGAATGGACTTGTGTAGCCCACATTCAGCAGCTGTTATTTGAAGACAGACACGCACAGGCTTAGTGATCGCGATTGGAGGCTGAGTTTGTACAACGCAGTGATCACATGCGCAAAAGCCTATTCATCGAGCGGCACGGGCGTGTACCCGCATTGTCCGGACCACACGTTCCCGGACGAGCGCACGAATTCCATTCCAACCGAAACATCACTGTCGTCATCGTGCCGTATTAGTCTGTTGTCATCTTCACTTGATGTGGGCGTTCAACTGGGACCCGATTCGCAGAATCATTCCGGAAAAACACGACACATTGCTCGTTTTCTATATGATAGTACTCCATATCCCTCGAAACGGGTTGGATCCTAGTTGAGCACCTGACTGCGGTGCCCTGGCGGCACAACCCTCGCCACTGATTCAAAAAATCCAAAATGTCCGGATTCCAATGACTTCAACCACAGCTTGCGGCTGAGCTCGAACGGTGCCGAGAAGAGCAGCGTTTGTCCATCCTTGTTCTTGTGTTCGATGAGCACACACAGCTGAGGAAAGCAAGCGAGAATCGAGTTCATCAACAAGGCGTGGTCCGTTCACAGTTCAGACACTACCGCCGTGTTGATTCGTAGGTGAGCACCGCGTGAAAAAACTATTTAAATCAGACGAAGCGGTCATATCCCATCGCCAGGGTATTACTTGCGGTTTTCGACGCCTTTTCGTCTAAGGATTGTGTGCAGTTATGCCCTGCTTCCATTGTCGACAACCATACCTCGCCATGGCACGGCACACCAAAGGAGGTCATTTTCTGCGGAGAAGTGCACAGCAGATACGACTTGAAGCCACGATGGCACATTCTGACCTCATGGTGACCGACAGACTCCAAAGCATAGTCCAGGGTCGCTTCGAACATCGCATCGCGCCCGCTTTGAACTGCCGCCGATAACAACGTTCCCCCTTTGTTATCGATCGACTCGATCAGCTGCCACAGCTAGGGAAAAACAGAGATCCACACGCAAAGAGGACTTCATGAGAACGGTCGGAAGTACTTGCGTGCAGATAGGTGCTACACCTCGATTTGCGGGCTATGTCCTCCCTGAGCGTGGCAAGAACTGCTGCCACAAAGGTGGCAAGCATACTGTAACCTGAGCTGGTTGTACGATGCTTTCCCGTCGTGGCGTTTCGCTCACTATCAAATCTAACCTGCCGCACGGTGTGATGTGAAGAACCTTTGCCGTGGACTCGCATCTACCTCGTCTCGTCCTTGCTAACGATTTTCAGTGCGACTGCGGTCACCCTCGCATTGGGTCCGTACTCCCACCTTGAAACATATGCGGTGTGGTGCATGCTTTCACAATATGAAAACCCAGGGTGCCAAACCTATGAAGCCACAAACGTCTCGTACCTGCTCCTGGTGGAGGCCTTTCTTGGCTGTTTGGAAGACAGTCTCAAAGGTGTCCACGCGCTCGCTCGAAACTGCCGCCGTGAATATCGTGTGTCCGTCATGGTCTTTCGCCTTCAACATGTCAACGAGCTGATGTGGGTGGCCAAAACAGGGAGCATGCACGTTGCGGAAGTGTTAGCTCTACATAGCTCCATTCACCGAAAAGAGGCTACGACTGTCCGGCGGCATGAAGGCGGGACTCAATCAGTTCTTCAAAATCCCATCCCTTGGCGACGATAGGTAGGGTCTGAAACAAGTGCTCGTTCGGAGGCTAGTCTTCGTTGATGAATGTAGCTGTAGACTGTGCATTTGAAACGATGTGTCAACGTGCTTTCCTCACGGTGAACGAGAGACGGTCACGAGCATGGTCCAGGGCAGTTTCGAACTGTTTAGGAGGTTCTCGCTTGGAATTGATGCGGATAACACCGCCTCCCCGCCTCCATATGGCGACTCGATCAACAGACACTGTTGTAGGGAAACAAAATAATTGGGAGCCAATCAGATGAAACCAGTTCCGGCGCGCAACACAACCAGCTGCAGAGCCCCCAAGTTGCTTGATATCTTCACCCCCGTTGGCACTTGACTTTTTCGAACAATGAACACCTGTCCAATAAACGTAGAGGACAAAAAAACACGAGGTAACTCCATGCCTACGGTAGCACGCGCTCGACACCGACCCCCGCGGCAAGCCGACCCGCTGGCGGCCATAGTCGGCTGCTTTTCCTCCCCCGATGATTCTTTCCGACGCGAGGGCGACCTTCACTTCGGACAAGGTGGAGGACCATCCGTGCTACGATCGTTCTTTTGGGGGCATCTTCCATCAAAGCCAACCGGTCCGGCTCCCCTATCACGGGGCAGGTATAACTGCGCTGCAGTTCCTCTCGGACGGAGGCGACCGTGAATATGTTTTGCGTCGCTAGCTAGGTCCTGCGTCTACGCTGTGCTTGCCCGCGGGGAAGCCATCGAACACGGCACACAGAGGGATGCCTCTCGAGAGTTCCGCACAAATCTCGGGCAAGCGATTCGTCGCTTAGTGCGTTGTGTTCTACTTGCTGACCCCACTTCTTTTTTTTCGAAGGGGGAGGGCTGCGTTATCCTCCATGCCGTAGAGGAACTCGAGGCGTGCAAGAGCGGGTGTGGAACTAGAGCGGGGGGTAGACGAGGAGGAGAGGCGAGAAGGTTTTTATGGACTAGGCTTCGATGCCATGCAGCGGCTATTTAGCTCGTTCATGCTGGGAAGTGCGAAGCCGCGTCGGGGAGGGCTGGTTTGAATGGGCGGGTGAATGGAGGGACAACACAACCGCTTACAGCGCACGTGAGGAACAGAGACAACGAGGACATTGTGGCCTTGTGCACTTAACGTGAGATCTCGCTTGCTAGCAGCAGCACAGACATTGCTGTTGGTTGGTTTTCTTTCGCATTGGCTGCGAACGACCAACTTGTCCGGCGAGATGAGGTAGATGATAGTTCCGCATAATCCGGGCTTGCCGGTCCGCCTTCGTGCATGATTTGTGTAATACGACAATGAGAGCAAAAACTGGAAGCCTGCTCAGCCAAGGGCTCTTTTTCGTACCTGCCCCTTGTGGAAGTACCCCTCGGATGCTTTGAAGATAGCTTCAAAAGTATCCGTGCTCTCGCTCGAAGCTGCCGCCATAAGTACCGTGGGTCCGGGTCGATCCTTCGCCGTCAGCAGTGGAACGATCTGATGTGGGGGGCAAAAAACGTGAAAGTATTCTACATGTTAGGTTCATCTACGGGAAGGGACTACGACTGTGCGGCGTCACGAAGACGGGACTCGTTCAACTTTCCCACCACGAAATTCCTTCACGACTAGGTCTGAATGGAGGCTCTCAACCAAAAGGAGGCCAATCATTGAGCATGAACGGCACAGTCGCTGCACCTTTCGAGTCATGATGGGACAACAGTCTTACCTCATCGTGAAAGAGAATACCCAGCGCATGGTCTAGGGTCGCTTCGAACATTTTCGAGGATCCGCCTTGGACTGCTGCAGTAAACAGCGTTCTCCCGTGTTTATCCTGAGCCTCGATCAACCGACGTTGCTGAGGGAATACAGTACACCATACACAAAGTAGAGTTAACGAGAATGGCCGGAGGAACTTCGTGCAGACAACCTGTGCGTACACCGGCGAATCGGTATGGTTCTTGCCATCTCGAAGCAACGTACATGCCACCTGAACGGGACAAGAAATCCTACATATTCAGGGCCAAGTCGTCAAGGACACATGAACCATTAGCTCGTTGTACGGTACTTTCGCGTGGGACTCTTGTGCACACCATCATATCTACCCTGCGACCTGGTGTCACGTATGCATAGCACCCACCTCGCCTCTCGTCTTGCTAACGTTTTTCAGAGTGCAAACTTGCATCAGCCTACGAGTTATTGTTTTGGGCGTGTACGCCGTGGAACATGAATGGTTCACGGTTTTCTAGGACAACGATCCTAGGGCACAGACTTGAAGCCAGCCAAACGAAGGATCTTCTTTGCTACAGTACTCCGCCACAGGCATGTCGTACCTCGCTGTCGTCGAAGTCATCCTTGACGGCTTTCGAGACAGCCTCAAAAGTGCCCACGCTCTTGCTCGCCACTGCCACCATCAGTACCGTGTGTCCAAGTTGATCTTTTGCCTTCAGCATTTCAACGATCTGATGTGGGCGGGCAAAACGGGAGCAACACACTGTTAGCTCCATCCATGGAAAGACACAACGACTGCCCCCCGTCACGAAGGAAGGATTCGTTGACTCACAAAAAAAATAATCCCTTGGCCACTAGAGGCTAAGGGGAAACTGTCTGGCCCCTCCGCCCTCATCACGCCATGCATGGCCGAACCGCAAAACCGCAACTTAGATTTGGGATCAAGAGTACCCGTAGGCTTTTAGAAAGTATGGACGTTGTGCGTTGATGACCAGAGGCCAGAGAGGTATATCATGTGCCGACCTCGTACAATCGCCATCAACGTTGTGTTTAGTGTTTGGGCACATAATCTCATAGAAAGACTATACCGGTTCGAGATATAACCACAGCCAAAAGGGATGTGCTGAAGTCTTTTCGGGGAGTGGAACGAAACGGGCTGGAAACCGGGCTTATTTTGAGTTTGTTTCAGTCCATACACTGAATTGCATCAGTGATGCCAGCTGGTGCTATAAAGCATCTGTGTAGGTGGATACATTGTGCAACACATCCCCTGTAGTTATCTTCTCTACTGAGTCAGCGACAAAAGTATCGGGGAGAATCCCTTTGTCATGTCGTGTATTTTGAAATGTGGCTTCCACAGGGAACACGGCGCAGTGTCGCTTGACCTTGCTGGTGTATTTACTACTTTGAACCCCTTTGAATCTCCAGTAATTTATTTTTATTTATTATTCCAAAGACAGGAGCCGCAGGTTCGAGCAGCTGTTTCCCGCTCATTAAAATTTTACAATGCGACAATGATAACCTTGTGTGATGAGTGTAAAGTGAAACGCATTAGATGGGATTGGAATATGCTGTCTTCTACGTGACGAAGAATGAATGCCACGGTCACCTTATCGCGGGGCGAGGCTCGTACGAGCTCCTTGAATGTCTCCGGCTGGCTGCGCGTTGCTGCATGAAGAAGCGGAGTGGTTCCGCCACGAAGGCCGGTTCCTGATTCACCGTACGGTCTAAGGAGAACGCACTCTTTGTCCATCTCGCTTGCGTTAGCCAGCAGAGCTTGGACGCGGTCGAAATCGTCGATGTTTATGGCTTCAAGAATTTTCTTCGTCAGGACATCTTCACAGATGATGCGCACGCAAGTAGGGAAAGGCATCAAGTGGGGGTGAGGTTTAGCAGGCTTCGCAGTCGTGAGCAGTGCGCATCAAACCTATGGCCTGGGCGCTTGACACGCGACACGGGCACACATCGCGGAGGTGTGGTGGTGTAGCTTGTCCTTCGTCCCTTCATGCCCCTGGCAATACAAAGCGCAACCTACAGATCACCCAGCGTAGAAATATACTGGGCCGATGGCACGCAACCTGTAATGAACCTAGAATAGCCTCGCGACCTCCGGTCTGGTGTGTGCAGAGTGTTCACCGCCAGTCTTGGGATGTCTGCTACCCTTTTGCTAGAGACGAACTGCGTGGAACGGGGAAGCGTGTCCACGATACTCTCGCTCGGCTGTGATTACATGGTCATTCCCGTGAACAAAAAGCTCCTCCGCGATTCTCTTTAGTTGCGGAGTGGCCGCAGTCGAGGCTGGAGATAACCGTAGGTGGCATATTCCATCCCAGCCATCCGCGGTTCTCTAAAGTTGTGGAGCGGCCTAAAAGGGCACCGGCGTAGGGATGGCTTGTTCTCCACTCTAGTCAAAGGGCAACATTTGACCAATGGTTGAAGCTGATAATTTCAACCACGGCCCACTAAACAGTCACCCGCTACGGACTATCAACCCTGATGTTCTACGTACCTCGTGAGGAAATGGCGTCGTCTTCTGCCTGATGGCTGGACCTGTGGTCGTGTTTCATCTCCTCAACGTATGGCGAGGCTGTCGAGGGAGGAGGAAAGGCGCATGACGAATGGGGGGATCGAGGGAAGAAGTGATTACGTCCTGCACCACGAAGGCATTAAGGTCACAGAGTGTAGTGACGGATTTTGCCGTCTATTGCGGCGAAAATGTTCACCGTTGGCGACGGTACGTGATTTTCAGGTTGTTTCATGGGCGACACACACACCGTTCCACCGAGGTACGAAGGAATGGCTAGACGTACCTCCATCTTCAGCCTCGGGGACCTGGCCATTCACGGCCCTGCTGGTCATTCGAACCTCCAACGCAACACGCCTGGAGGGGTTCTGAACAAACCTGCAAATATTACGTGGCGTAGGCATTGTTAGTCTACTGGTGCCGGCAACAGTCTGCGTGTCAAACAAAGAAGCTTCATACAGACGTGCGCTAAAAAAAAGAGGCCGGGGATAAGCGAGGGAAAGGAACCTATGAGGGAACAGAACGAGGGCATCCCAGGAAAATATCACGGGAACATCACATGGTTCGGGACGTCAATGCGAACTTCAGTTGGAGATATTGCCGTCAGCAACTAACCTGGGTATGTCATATCGTTCAGCAATTAGTCTAGCCCAATTTTCAATTTTCCGGGGTTGAATCTCCCTCCGTGTGGAAAGTTGAAGAGCGATTCGCCCTTCCGAATCCTACAAGGGGGTGCTGTAGACGGGATGGCCAACCGTGCTGGAGAATTCCGCGACAATCACCTTGTCGTTGGGGAAATCACGCCAACAGCATGAATTCAATGTGCCAAGATGAACAAATACGGACTGGTCCGTACCGGGCCATCAAATGATGTTGGTGAAGAAGAGAGAGCTTTTCAGCTGGTATTTGCCCGCGACCTTTTCATAATGTATGGAAATTCTGCGATTTGTTCTGGCCATAGACTACGTTACGTCATAGAAATTGCAGTACAATTTCGCATCAGCCGTGGTCACGGGGTCACTCATACCTATAGGAGGAAGGCAAAAAAAAACAGGCAGACACGAGGTTTTCTCCGCCTTCCTGCTGCGGTGCTCACACCTTACTTTTTTATCGCGAGAAGGATTCAGGCATTCCTTTCCCTCGTTGGCCGTGAAATCGTATTTCTCCACAATTAATTAAGGAACCACAATTAATTATTTCTGCCTGTGGGCCGAAACCGGCAAGTGTTGCAAGACAAGATGCGTTGGTTCAATGCCGGAAAATTCTTGTGGGTGCGCGCATGCGCATCGTTTTCTGGAGTTGGCAGGGAATAATGTCCGATGTTGAAGCCGAAGAGGCGGAGAGATGGCACCCTAGGCCGATATTCAAATCTCGATTGCTCCACAGCCAAGCTTGTGCCAACACCATAATAGTATTGTGCAATTGGTATTGTGGTTTTGGAAACACCTCGTCGAGGACTTTCCGTAGACATACCGGGCTCTTTCCTCACCCTCTTGGTCGTGGAGCAATCGATCTGTGAATATTGGTCTACAGCAGTAGGGCTGCCATCTCTCCGCCTCTTTACGGTAAAGAAGCTACATGTCCATGAGTGCGCAGTAGCAGAGAGAGTGCAAGCGTGCGCGACTGTGCAGGGAGTGTGTGCGTCTGGCACGAGAGAGGGAGAGAGAAGGGTGTGTCGCAGAGGAAGAATCGGAACTTGCCACGTCTGCGCTAGAGAACCGGGAACATGGCATAACATGGATGCATGTTAGACTATACACACACGAGAGACCCCAGAAAAAAAAAATAGCATGCACCGATCGGAATCAAGACAGACAGGCCGAACACATCGGACCTACGCAGATCCGAACGAACGCACAATGACGCGAGTTCAGACTCTAGGGGGCGTGTTATGGCAGAACTCCAAAGGGAGTGCAACATGCAACAGCGCTCCCTCCAGAGAGCAATAGACTCCACGGCCGCTGACTTGACCGAACGCGCTTGAGCGTGAAATCTGCGCCGCAACACCTATACCTCTTTAGTGTGCTGCGTACGCTCGCCCGCCAACCACAGCAGTAGCCGGTGCACGCTCCCAGGCGAGCAAATCAATAGCTCTCAGCGAGGAAACGAGGGACAGAGAGAAGAGGAAGAGAGCTGCTTGGTGGGCGGTGGGCGGTGGGCGGTGTGTCAACAAGAGTGGGCAGATGCGGCGGAAAAGCAAATGATTTCTGTTCTTCCCTTCACAATCTGTTCCGTTTTCTTTTTCGAGCTCGCGGGTTTCTCCGAGTACCCCCGTTCTCGGGAATCGATCGGGAACGTTGCAGCTCAGCTGTTCTCATCCGAGGTGTCTGCAGAACAAATACAACTGCTGTTTAGGTGGGTCAATGGTTCAATGTAGTTGTGCCCGCAAGATGCCCCGATGGCAGCTTCTTCTCTCGAACATGTTTTTCCGTTCACATCTTGCGGACGTTTGAGGGTAGTGTTGGATATCGTATCTATCGATTTTCGATGTTGTATCGTATGCGCAAGTAAGGGATTGCTATCTCAACCACAGCACGGTGTTGATCCTTCAGCCGTCTGGAGAACAGACGATCTCTCTGGAGCAGTGGTGGGGGCCGCGAGGTATCTTGGGACAGGACAGTTCTCTAGGAAAAGAGGCGACGGATGTCTGGCAGAAGAAGGGAACAAGGTGGGTGTGACAGACGAGGGGCGAAGGGGGCTGTTCACAGCACAGCTTTCCAGCGCTGACGCATACCCAGTCTGATGCAGCGTGGGCACACGCCACGCTGAGCTGGCACGCTGACGTAGCGTGAGACAGCTGTTTTATGGCAGCTGTGGCGGTCGTTGCGACACAGACATGTTTGGACGGAGTATCTCGAACACGGCGCTCATACAAAATGGCATACGTATGCGTGCGTACCGAAATGATTCGCAGAACAGTGCGGAGGAACAGTCGGACATGTGATCCATCTACGCATACAGCAGAAGTAGTAGTATTAGCACTCACTGAAAAAGACTCCACCACATCCCGTTCGAATGTGGGTATATCTCGAACGGGTAGTCTTCCTGTGTGTGTACTTATTTTTCCTGATAATTATTGTATCGATATCGGGTATCGAAAAAAGTTGGGGGGGGGGGTCCGCTCAATCACCTTACCGAGATCCACCCCTGAACCTGTGCCTAGTAACGCGCGGTGGACTATGTTAAGGAAGACCCGATTCGCAGGGTATCCGTCGATTGACTTTTACCAGAATCGGTACACCTTCGCATATAGTATGGCGTCAGCAGGATACTGGTTCGAATCTCCTTGGGTGCACATTTTTTCTCCTGACTTGGACATTTTCCCATGGACACAATGTGTGTCAGTCCTGAGAACACCTCTTGGAATCGATCCTATAAATAACCTTGTGACACTTCCATCGAATTACCCGTCCTGGCCACAAGACGTTCCCAGTTGAGGGTAAATTCTGTGGGTGGAGAGTGTTAAGGAGGACCCGATTCGCAGGGTATCCGTCGATTGACTTTCACCAGAATCGGTACACCTTCGCAACTATACACGGCAGATTGCCCTGCCTTTCGCCTCACAGGAGCAGCTGCTGCTGTTGTACTCCACTACGTCATCGACGCCCTTGCTTATCCGTTTCCCCGATAAAGCTTCCCCGCAATTTATTTGCAACACGCCACGCGATTCAATCCCGCTCCACAAATCCCGGATTTCCTTGCGTTCAATCTTATACTTTCGATACTTCGGTATTATTTAATCGATAAATAGAAGCGCAGAGAAGAGAAGGTTGACTCAAGACCTTTTATCATTAACGAATGCGCCCGGCATGCTAGCCCATGCACGCAGAAGGGGGATCACCCCTCTAGAAACACATACCACAATGATACACGAAACCCCCTAGACCTCCGTTGATCTGTATCGAGTGCTGAGTACCCCCAAACAACCCGCCCCCATGGTGTACCAATGCGCATACAGACAAGAACGGAGACCCAAAGGCGGCTGCAAGATAAGAACTCAGGAAGGTGGGGGGTGACCAAACAGAAGATAGTGTCAAATCGAGGCGAGGGGGGGGAAAGGGCCTCGTTAAATATATTTTTGTACGCGCGGAGGGGGAGGCCGTACTCTCTCTCCTCATGTTTCGGATGCCTTAGCGGTGAGACCATTAACCGCACGACCCCGTGAGGATGCATCATCAACAGGACTACTTCGAAGTACGTTGCCAAAAATTGGCTCCAAAATGTTTTCCCTAGCCTATCGTAAAGTATGTACAGCAGTATTGGCCTATCGCTGCCCTGAGAAGTAGGGTGCAAGGTAAGTGAAACGCCTCAAGTCAATGGAATGCATTCGATATAAACTCAGGGCGACGCCTCACAAAAGCTCAGTTAACACAAACATTAAGGAGTTCAAGAGGGCGACATTGACTTAGGGCAACATACCAATAAAAAAAAGCAGTTGCTGCGTGAAACACACCGCAAAAATGGCGCAGGGACTTTGACCTCTCGTTCCGAGGCCCTCATTACTAGCACACAGCAGAGCAGCAGCCCCATGAATGCACTACTACCCTTCGTCGATGATCTTCCTTCATCAGTTTTTCGTTCAACAACTGCGTGTGGACTTCGTCACTCCGTAGTCCATGGTGTCGGCTGCAGGGCAACCAACACATTACATGCGATGCAGCACAGAAGAGGAAAACGTCACAGATAGGTATATAGGTGGGAGCACCGCAAAGGAGGGGCAACGTTAGCAAAGTTTTTGGTTCTTGTTCGGGCGGGTTCGCACCGCCGTTGCATCGCCGGTGCCAATCATGCCACCACGTCCCACAACGGCACTTAGTGCGAAGATAACGAAACACGCCTATGGAACACGACAGCATCAAGACAACCAAGGCGCAGGATAAGAAGGACAGACCTCCGGCTATCGAAAAGACAGACCCAACTTTGGAATGAACAAGTCGAAACATACGGCAGACTTGCTTAACAAACACCTGCAGATGGGGCTTGAAAGCTTCAAGCTTCTGAAGCACAACGGGTTGAAACAACGTCATGAGTCGGGCACTTCTAGCGCTACGGAGGACATGGTGGCGAACTCTGTGTGTTTCTCGGTTCTCGGAATACAGTAGTGAGGGTAGCCTTCATCACAAGTTTGGAGTTGTCGAGAATGTGCCTCTCGCCGGGTGCCGTCACCCAACACTCACACCAGATCCAGCTCAAAGGCTTCCCCTAATCAACCATTTGCCTCCGCTCGGTGCTCAGAACAAGTGCGAGCACGCTGACGTTTATTTGGACAGTAATCGAGCCAAGTCGACGGCACGGTACCGAACAATAGACGCCCGTTTCAATAAAATCGCTTCCC